AGGACAATGATCTACGACAGCTCAGACTCACAATCAGAACATCGGGGTTTAGAGCTCAGGTCCACTTCGAGGACCACGCCCCTACCCAGCCAAGATTTTCGCTTTTATTTTCGTGTGCGATTTATTTGGCCGAGGGTTGATTTTTTACGACTGCGGCACCGGGTAGCAAAAGAGGAGGAAGCAGCCGACGTCATTGACATTGCAAATTTGACGAGGGCAAAGCGGCAGAAGCAGAGAAAGCACGAACGGCAGACAAAACAAAACAAATCGTAAAATTTGTACCACTCATACCGCTCCACCGCAGTCTGTCTCGAGCTTAGAACTTTGGGTGGAATAGATGTCTGGATGCTGCAGACGGACAGAAGGGGGCACCCAAAACATGGACAACAGCATTGTCAAACGAAAGTGAACGATTCAAGTATTTGCGGCGTTTCTTCAACTGGGTATGGGGTTAGTATTGGGTGTTACAAAAAGCGTGCGGATTACCATCAACATTAAAATTAAAATGTATTTTTTTCATGCTACATACATGACACATACAAAAATTCCGTAATTAATTGTCAGTAACATTTAATGAAAGGATTCAGCTTTTCCAAATTCAAAAGCAGTTCAGACTCTACCTCTCTATAGGATTAGGCGACTGATTTCAATGTCCTACGCCTACCTGCAGCTGGATACTTTACGATACTAAATATTTAGTGACTAGACCGAGCCCGAAAAAAGCACCCCACTCCCACTGGGATCGCAAGAGAGCCTACTTTAACCCCTGTAAACCGATCCATTTAAACGCAAAACATCTACCTCAAAAGGGTACAAATGAGAACAAAGCTAAGCCCTGACTCGTGTGGTTGTTCATTAAATCCGCTGTTTGTTGTAAGACCAGTTAGTGTCTCTCATTCCCGTTGGTCGTATACTTTACTAAAATTTTGCACCTGCCTTCGATGTGTAGTTTTGCACCTGCCCCACTGTAATCATCATGAGCGGCACAGGCGATTTAGTTGAAAGCATCGCCGAACGCCTCTGATTGTTGGTTTGTTTTTCTATTGTCGAGATTATTTAATGTGTGATGACAGGGATGCATTTCCGACTATATAAAGTATATACTCTAGATCAGGGTCAATAGTCGGCTATTGTGATATTTGTGATATTTCTCCTCTAGAGTCTAATTATATTTTAATTTGCATGCTAAACTATGCTTTAAGCAAAAAACAGAGCCAGAAGAAACAATCGCAGACGACTTCCAACAATTTACGCAATGGCACCTTTTAAATTTGCGACGTTTAGCGAGCGATTGCCACAAATCAAAGCGACCCAGCCGCTTCTCCGATCCGAAACACTTCGCGCCCTTACTTTCCAGCCAACGCTTTAGTCGAGTTCTTTGACTATCAGATACCTGTTCATAAGTAAAGGGAGATGTGCAAGGGAGAAATTTCGCTTGGAATAGTATAATAAACCAATTTAGCGTAGGAGTGGGCGTGGCCAATATTTTTTTTCCATATAGAAATTGGAAAGAAACAAACATTCAGCATAGGCGTCAGTAGCGTCTGCATGGCCAATCCTAAATTTTTTTTTAACGAACCTAGTATACGTTTTTACTGTAAGTGTAACGTTTATAAAAATCCCTTGAAATCCCAGAAGCAGTGGAAGCAGTATATGCTCTCCAAACAGGAGCAAGCGAAACAAACGAAGACCAATGACAGACAGGCGAGCACATGCAGAGTGAACCAAATGCCAAGAAGACAAAGACGCAGACAAGTCGCAGCCGAAAGTACTTTAACTACAGCGATAAGAGCTTATTGAAAGGAAAAGTGAGCGATTACGAAGACTTTTATTCCGGATTTAATACACCTTACCAAGCCAAATTTCTTAAGCTGTGAAATATCAATACTGAATTTAACTTTTAATAAATAAGAATCAGTTTGATATCCTTGAAAAAAGCCCGCGTGGGACGCATATTGATGGCTGTTTTACTTATTCGGTGCGTAAAACTAGACGACGACTGTATTTAACTTCTACTCCAAGTGATTTGTGTGGGAGCAAAGTCTTTCTGCCAGACGACAGCCATCAAATTATTGCTCTTTGGCTCCGTCCGACCCATCCACTCAATAAAAGTGCACGTGCCTCTGAACTTCGACCCTTATATGTTGCTGGCCTTGCGGCTATGAATGTGACATTTGCGAAACTGCCCACCGTCGCCTACATGGCACGTTAAATTTTATGGCGCCTGTGTTGTTGGCATTGTTTGGTCGTTTTTATGCGAAATTAATTTAGAAAACTTTTGTTTAAAACCGAAACAAACCCACTCTAAAATAGAACGATACGCAACTTTTATTTCTAGCGATATCGGGAGTGCCACATATGGTTTTAAGGGTTCTCAACGGTCAGAGTTCACACGCAGCGGGTAAAAAACCAAACAAATGCAACAAGACAGAATGCTATAGTCGAGTCCTGGAATACCCGATACCCGTTACTTAAATAAAAAAGTGTTTTAAGTGTTAAGTGTTTTTGTCATATCATGGTACTTTTTACTCAAAACCGTTAGTATATCACTATCGCCTTATCAGCCCTCTTGAAGTAAATCAATAATATATTTAAGGGTTTCCTTGAAAATTTTTACATTCGCTTGGTATGTATTTTTTTGAAATTACTGTACGTTGGTGACTCATAAAAGAAGTAAGTCATGCCTTGGCTGTGTGACCCACCAGCGAAAGTCCATATTTCTCCCATTCCACGATCGCGTACCACAAAAACCTCTCCATTATACCATGTCCGCCTATTGTGACCGTATTCTGATCGCAATAAAGTAGTGGCATTTGTTAGATATAAAACCATCAACACGAGACGCAATTCTTTATCTTCTTCTGCGCGCCCTTCCACTGGAATATCTTCTGGTAGTGAATCGCACTTTGATTCTTATTTCTTCTTGTTGTATTCCGGTTTGCTTGCCAACGTTACCCATATGTATCTAAAAAAAAACATTAATAATTACGACTCTGCTAGATCCCAGTTCGCGATTCCGTATCTTCCTAGCATATTTTTTTGCACATGATTTGGCGGGCGGCGAAAAGAGATAGACAGAGGTTGTGGGACCGAAACGGGGAGACTGGGAACGTGGGATGGCGCAGAGGCGCATAAAAAATACCCAAGCCGCAGACAGTGCAAAAACAACAAGCAGGAGAATGCAGAAGGGATGGGCGAAGAGACGAGAACAGAAGACCTAAGGCAGAGGTCCAAAAAACAAAACCAGATGGAAAATGGAATGGAATCGAAGCGTAGTTAAAGGAAATTCGCTCTGTACGTTTATGTGTGTTTGTTTTTGTGTCTGGGCAACAAACACACTCATAAACAATGATGAACGGGGTGAATGGACGCAAGGTGACGTCGCGACGCAGACGCAGACGAAGCCGCTGCTTCTGCTTCCTCATGGGGTTGGCGAATTTGGGCGCCAACAGCATTCCCTTTCTAAAATAGCTTTTTTGAATTTCCTACCGTAGGATTATAAACTATACATATGTAGATATGATGCAAGTAAAATATTTATTGTTTTACTTTACTTTACTTTAAAATAACAACATAAACACAAAACACAACAAAGAAAATTTAAATACTGATCCATTAAGTAGAATACGTCGAACTGTACCACGTTTTCGCGAAAAGTTTTCTCCATAAGCGCATTAAGCGCCACAATGGGCGTGGCACTTGATGGAAAGTCAGAGGGCGAGAATCGAGAGTTGTGGCATAACAAATGACGAAGGAACGAAGGTACCAAGGAGAGAAATTTTGGTTCAATTCAGTTCATTTCGTTTTATTCTGCTCTACTGGCGTCTTTCAGTGCCTCTTTGGGTTTTTGTTTTTGGCTATATTGCTTTGAGCGCCTCATTCTGTCTGGAGGCACATTCTTCTTGTTTTTGCACTTAATGCCATTGCACTACACTTCGCCCGCCATTTGACATTCCCTTCTCCACGTTCTCAGTACTATTCCATCAAATTCCGCACATAAAAAACAAGAGAGAATGTTGAGTTTCTCGACTATATGATACCCGTTACCCAGCTAGTAGGAGTGCTAGGAAGATATTTTAAAATTTTGTTGGCATAGCGATAGAAATCGAGGAAAGAAATAAGTAAAACAAAATAAATTAAATATTTTCAAAACTTTGGGCGTGGATTAATGCTTTTAGCTATCGATATATATTGGCAAGACTAATAATAAAAAACAAGATACGACAACAACAACGACTATCAGATACACATTGCTCAGCTAGTGGAAGTGCTAAATAGAATTTTCAAAATTTTCTGGAATATCTATAGAAATTAGGGAAAAAATAATAAAATTAAAAACCTTTAAAATGTTTTAAAATTGTGAACGTTACAGTTTTTTACGGGTTGTGGGCGTTAGAGTGGGCGTAGACGGACAGATGGACGGACATGGCCAGATTATATGGTCGGAAACGTTTCCTTCTGTTACATACTTTTCAACGAATCTAGTATACCCTTTTACTCTACGAGTAACGGGTATAATAAAAACGAAACTATACATTTTTCAAAACTGTGGACGTCACAGTTTTGAACGGTTTGTGAGCGTTAGAATGAGCTCGGCAACGATCTTAAACAAATTTGCACAGTACAACCTTTTCCGTATTACGTATTCATAAAACTGTCACTTAAGGAAAAAGTGTACTGCGATTGAATTGAAGTCTGAATATTCCAGTCAGAATTGCGGGATTGCACTTTATTGCATTGAAATTTAACTTGTATTTTTACATTGACTTGCTCTAGTATATTTTTAAATGTGTAAGTGTACTCAGATTCCCTGCAGCCTTTCCGCGTTTTATTTGCTCTTCCCTCTGTATTATGTCCTTTTCCATTTTTCCACGTAATAGTAGAGCACTAATTCCGTATTTTTTACGGCAAGCTCGGTGGATAAACAAGCGCACAGGAATTCAAAATGCGCGGGATTTTTTTTACAGCTTTCCCTTATTTTTGTTATGGTCCGAGTGCGAACGAAAAAAAAATTACGAAAGTATGGTATATCTGCTCTGAATGTAATTTACAAGCTACCGCTATCAATGATATGGCCGCCGAAGATATCATGAGCTGTAATTAATTAATTGCCATTAATTTGGGCTAGGTACAGCATAGTGCATCATCGGATTCAGAATCTGACTCATATTCGTCAACCGAATATGTGTGACAAGAGCCTGAGAAGGTCGACTGCAATTCTGTGAAGAAATAGGTCTGCTCGTCCTCTGTGACTTCCATTTCTACATCTCTGTAGCGCCTAGGTGAACCGAAGTTTTGGAGGTACATGGCTCTATTGACCAGGACCTTCAAATGAATCTCCTCCTGCTCCTGACAGACCCTAAGTCGTTTGTATTCCTGCTTGTCTCCATAAGTCTTGCATTTCTTGCACATCAATCGAGTGGATTTTGCCTTAAGCTCTTTTATAATCGTGTTCTGGACATCAATAGCTTTGACCACGTCCAGATATTCCTTGTACATTGCCTGCTGCTCTTCATCGTCCTCATCGCTCTCATTAAGGATCTCAAAGAGATCCTTCTCCTCCACCTCTAACTCATCTTCTACTTCAACGTCCTGTTCGTCGTCTTCGCCCTCTCCCTCAAGATCTTTAGCGGCTTCTTGTCCTTCATTTTGTTCATCATCAACGTCTATAGGGGCTTCTTCTTCCTCCAAATCAGCCATTGTATCAGGTGTTAGGGGTAAATGGTATTATAAGCGGAGCAGGGGTATTAAATTACATAGTTATGATATACTTTAATGAAACAATTTTGATATATAAATCGAATATAAATTGTTGCTGTAGATTTATCATGTGGTCGACCAAAACGTAAGCCTAAGCTCGCCTCCTCACCGCCAGGCAGTTTGCTGCACATAACATTTTTTGTACCTCTTATTGCACGCATTTCCGTTTCCCTCGTTACTCTCTTTTCGTACATATTTTTTTGGTCTTCTTCACCATGAAAGCTGTTGCGCTGTCAACGCCCCTTTTACTTTCCTTTTACAACCTCCTCTCTGCTATTTCACGCTTTTATTAACACAGTGATTTCTTGTGGCTGAATCCGGTGGATTATGCTTCAGGGCGCACCACTCGGCTGCTCCTCCGCGTTCGCATTAATCGTAGAAATGCTATGCGCCAACTACAGAATGCAATTTAATTTGGCATGAAGTGCATCTCTCAGGGTCGTTTCATCATTCTATCGGTAGTTAAGAGGTTTATAACCGATAGCAACCTGTAAGCCAGTAAATCCACGGTACGTACATATTTGATGACTGGCCCAACGACACAAGTTGCTGTTTTTATGGCGTCATATTTTTATGGCTGCATCCAAAGCAATAGCATCAAACTGGTGCATTGAATGGCATAATAGGTATGCAAAATTTGTACGCAAAATGTTGCTACAAAGTTGGCATTGTGTGCAATGACAGGCAAAAATGTCACGAACAATGTACAGCATAGAAATGGAATAGTTTACGATAAAGAGTTAACCAAGTTTCATTTGAATTTACCGAATTAAGTTATATACCCTAAAATAAGCAGCTTGTTTGGTCCAAACTTAAGCTTCTATCCCAAGCTTGGTTTAAAGTCGGTTTAAGTTTTGTTTGTTAACCCTACGTTTCTGATTTATTTTTGGCGTGATTGGCGCAGCCAATTGCTCGCGAATTCCTGAAAGTGACAGTTGGATTAGGAGCGAACTCATATACATGTCACCATTGTCCGATCCTTATAATCCTGGCCAAGAACGACGTCGAGGGGATACAACATCACTAGCCTCTGGGCTTTCTCGCCCATATCAATGTGTAATGGAACGCTTTTTGATTAGCTCCATGTCAGATTACGCATACGTCACGTTAAACGCTTAAAGACTGCGCCGCCCATTTTAAATTAAATAATGGACACAATTTAATTTACAAAGTTGAAAGAAAGCGTAGGCCACCCCTTTCCCGGTACACACATCCTTCAATTTTTTCGGGACATTTTATTCTTGTTTTCAAGATTTCTTTCAGCCCGTGCAAGTTGCATCAAGTTTTTCTTCCGCTCAGACTTTTGTTTTCTTTTGGCTTGCAGCTTTTTTGTGCTATTGTTAAAACGAAATAGGGGCTGTTTTTTTGTTTACGCTTCTACTGCATAAAATGGTTTCATTAAAAAAGTTGTAAACTTTTTCATTTAATTTAACTGCAGCAAACAACATCTTTTGTGCAGCATTTTTCCTTCTGCGCTTTTACTTGCCCACTCTATCGCCATTTTTCACTGCAACTATTTTTTAGAAAGCATCTGCTGCCAGCAATCAGGCTCAGAGACAATCGACCCGCAGCCCTTTAAATTCCTTTAATTTTTTTTGAATGGGGTTTCAATTAAACTTTTCCATATCTATTTATTGTGAATTTTTCTTCCACATCAGGTGGCAAATAAAAGTCTGATTTGTCACAATAAGGGCCTGACTAAAGTATTGCTGCGTACTGCAACTGCAATTTGTTTCCTTTTCCATGTTGTTGTGTGTTTACCCCCCATTACCTCTATATTTTTTGTTCAACTTTTTCCATTCGTCGAGAAAAAGGGAATACTAGACCCTATACATTATATATACATAGACGAGTCGATCTAGCCATATCCGTTTTCCAGTCCGTATGAACGTCCATTTAAAAGCTCTAAGCCGTATTTTCAAACAACTTTTTAACTTCGTGTCTTCTAGCGGGGCTTGATTTCCCTTTTTGTTCATTTTAAACATTCACAGAACATAATTCAATAAGGGAGATAATAAAAGGCTCGTGTGATATTTGTAATATTTAACACAACAGTTCAGCAGTGATGCATTTTGACATGCACAGGGGAGGAGGTGGAAATGTGGGCGGGGCAGACTCAGAAAGAAATTAAATTTTCGCACAAAGGGGCAAACAAAAAAACAAAGACGTCGGAACAATAATAATAACAACAATTATAAGCTGCTTAGAAGCTAGCGATGCGAAAGTGAAGAAATGCGTTGTAATTCCACATGATGAGCTGGGAGGTTGGGGCCCTCCAGGTGGAAAGGGTAGTTAGGTAGAGGGGTGGCAATAAGCCACTTTGTAGCTTTAACATAAAGGTATGCGGTTGCATGTGCCACAAGCAAGATTGCTCTTTTCCAGAGACGGCATTCCCCGCAAAAAAGCCCTAATACGACATGGCCGCTCACAAAAGAACGGTCTCGTGTTTAAATTGATATATAATATATACATTCGCTAGGCAACATATATAAATATCATCTATTATGATATGTTGAATATTAATAAAAAATAAATTTTTTTTCTGTACTATTTTGGTGAGTGTAAGATAGTCGGTGTGTACCCGTGTGTGTTGCGTATACCTTTCTATGAAATGTGTCATGTTGACTGCTTTGAAATGTCATTCATGCGGCATAGTAATGAGTTTTTGAGCTGAGTGTTGAGATGCAACAAATTCTACAACAACTACAGAAATCCCCCAGAAAGTTGTTACTTTGGTGGCCAACAGAGATGTGCAGAAAAAATTCCTTTGCTACATAGTTTGTCCAATAGGCAAAATGAAATCATAAATGACGTACAAAAATGAGGCTACTTAGAGATGTTAGACCAGAAAAACAATCGGTAATATATCTTAACTTAAGTGACAACTTACTGGATAAATAATTATGATTATATACAAAATCATTGCATCCATACCAGCTCTTTTTTCGATGAATGTAACTTTAATCGTGATGAATCGATGAATCGTAAAATTACATTTTTGCCGAAACATTCGATATTCGAGTACCTCGGCTATCAGATACCCGTTACTGGGCAGGGTGGAGTGCTGGAAAGATTTTCAAAGTTTTGTTGGCATACCGATAAAAATTGGCAATACAATTTTTTTTCTTAATTAAAAATGTAATAATTTTATAAATTGTGGGCTTGAAAGCTTTTTGCGGTTTGTATGCAAATTGGGCAAATTTTAGCCGACATATTGATTGAAAATAGCAAGACAACCAATAAAATGATGAACGGACGTAAAATGTAATAGTAGACATAGACGTAACCGTAGACCGGAACCGATAGGAGAGAAGAATTCCATTGTTGTAGTAAGAGCCCACACAATAATATACAATAGTTGTCCTATGCTCTATTTACTTTTCCGTTTTCGGCTAGAGCGAAACAGCGATGGAGAGAGTGGAAGGCGAGAGTGATATAAAATGTAGTAAGGGAAAAATCGATTGATTTTTAAATGAATTTGGGTCACAGCAACCCCATAGTCCCCAACCATTCAACCATACAATCCCCTCTCCCTGGGGCAACTGCATTCACCCCCGAGGAACGCAGTGTGTAAAAGTGTCTCTGTGTAAGAAATGGGTTTGCATCTGGAGATACAGCCGAAATGAAAATGTCAGCTGCCTTGTGCTCACGTAACTTATTTAATTCAAATCAAATAGGGAAAATAGATTGAAATCCCTCCTATATTTTCGTTTTTCGGCAATAAGTGGGTAGTGTTGAGATACTGAAAGAGCAATTCTGATACGCATTTGGCTTCTTATATTACCATCTCATGGCGGAAGGGGCAAAAATAGTGTACTAAATTGGGGCACAGGATACTACAATATTTGAAATGATGATATACTAAAATTGTAATCGAGTGGAACATATTTAAAATAAATGCACAATGCAGGCTCGAATAAAATGAAAATGCAAAATAAGTTTTAAACCAAAGTGGTTACATTTGGATATTTCCTTTCCTTGGACCCGCAGGCCTCTATCCCCATGGATTGCCGATGCTGGACACGAGTCAACAACATGTGCATTTTACGAGCAAAATGACAACGGGGAATGGGAAGAAAGGGGCGACACATTGTTGATATCTTGGGAAAAATCTAATGTATATTACTAGCTACCGCCGCTGAATGATGATTTTACCCAAACCAAAGTTCAAACCTACGTTGCAACTAATTTTACGTTTTTATTACAGTCCTGCTACGTGACGCGATGGGACATGGGAACATGGGCTAAATCATAGACTGAATTCAATCACGTGTGGCATATAAAATATTGAATACGAATAACGAGATCAGCGCAGTATCCGGCTTAGTTTAGTAACTTTAGAATATACACAGGTTAAATAAATGAAGTTAAAGCGGTCTCAGCAGTGAAAAACCAGCAAAAAAAATTCCTGCCTATGTTTATCCTTCCTCGCAAGAAACCATGCTCGCTTTAAATTTATGTCTTTCCCCACGACTCCAGGGTAAGTGGACACTTTATTCTGTCGTAGAAGCAAAATTCTTAATTTCCTTAATTCCGTAGCTTATAACTTTTTAATTAAGAATTTCTGTATTGATTTTCTGGCGGCAAGTATACGCATCAGGGCCACCTACCTACAGTAGTCACTGTTTTCCCATCCTTCTCTTATGATCCCATTTCATTTGATTCCTATTCTAATTATGCAATATCCTTCAGGGACCCGTAAACTGCACCTGTCACACCTTGAGAAGCCGCCTTTGCTGCATTCGGTAACTGGGTTAACGATAAATTACAAATGATGTCAGGTCCTTGTTAGGGACCTTGCCACGACCCCGCCACCTCAGAGACATCGAAGGCCAGCTGGGTGCATGAGCCCCGCCGAGCTCTAGTTTCGCTCGTCTCTAAGCGCTCGGTGTTCGGTACTCTGGCTGGCCAAGGTCTACTACTGCAAATGCAGTTTCCAATGCTGCCTGCTGCTCAGCCTCCTCTACACGAAATGCAGAGCGCAAAAAACGAATAAAGATCAGGGGCATCGCAAAAACAAGAGAGAACTATCAGATACCCGTTACTAAGCTAGTGGG